TTTTTTTCATTTTTTTCAGGAATAATCTACTACTTATTAGAGTGAAGGGCTCTGTTCTTTTTCCTTTTTATCTTTCTAAGTAGCCATGAATTCGCATATGGGTATTTTTGCGTTCGTGTTTTGTTCAGCTTTTCTGGTGTTAATGGTAAGTGGGCTTTCGAGAAATCTTTCAATACTGTCTTTTGATGAAGGGTACTCACATCTTTTCGGAGATGGCAATTTGATGGTCCTTGAGGATGGGAAATCGGTCCACATTTCGTTGGATGATAGAACAGGTCAAACTTTTTTCTGTTTCTAAAGATAAAAAAAAAAAAAAAAATTCTGTCTTTGCATAAATTTTCAGTTGTATTTAATTCATTTTTGAGTGTAAAGATTGGATTTTTATTGATGGTTTTGTGTTTTCAGGTTCTGGATTCGTGTCTCAGGAGGTTTATCTTCATGGGTATTTCAGTGCTTCGATTAAGCTCCCCGCAGATTACACTGCTGGTGTGGTGGTTGCCTTCTATGTAAGTGAAAAAAATGATTATTAATATTTTTTATATTTAATTTTTGGTGTATTTTGTATAATTACAAGGGTAAGGTGCGTACAACTGACCACCCCAACCCGTTTGGAATATACTGGGTATGTTGGTATATTTTGGAAGCCTGTCTTGGATTCTTTAATGTATAAGTTTTTAGCACATGACCTTAATTTCCAGACGATGTCTCCCTAAACAGATGGCAATGATTTTCTAGTCAATAATCTTGCAGGGTTAGTGTTTTGCATTCTTCTGTTCCTCACCAAAGTCATTGAACAGAATTTGCTTGTATATTTTATTTAAAAAAAATAAAATTATAATGAAAATTTATGGTTTGCAATCTCCATGTTGATATAAAATATGTATTGATGTTATCTGTGGATTCTTGATCCAATGGGTTATAGACCTAGTGTATTTATGCAAATTTGTTTCTCTCTCGAAAATTTTGTGTTTACAGATGTCAAACGGTGACATGTATGAGAAAAACCATGACGAGATAGATTTTGAATTCTTGGGCAACATAAGAGGAAAACATTGGAGAGTGCAGACAAATATATACGGTAACGGAAGCACAAATGTCGGCAGGGAAGAAAGATACGGCCTTTGGTTTGATCCAACTGAGGAGTTCCATCAATACAGTATCCTCTGGACTGAAAATGTGATTCTGTAAGTAAATAGTAATCTTGAAAGATTGTCTGTGTATCATGAGCCATTTCGATTTGTTTTTCCCATTTTGGTAGTTTCATGCCTTTATAATTTGTTTTTTATTGAATAGTTATTCTTCTAATTTGTTTTTGTTTTACTGTTTCTGGTTCTTGATTGTAATGCGAGCCATCCATGTTGAAAAGATATACCATGTTTTCCTTTTTCCGGAAGTAAATAATGTATGTAGTATTGGCATCCGATGCTCCAATTTGGCACTATGTCGTCATCTTTAATGCTATTTAGACGCGAAGAAGTGGTGTTTAGTACACTAACAAGAACATGTAAATTCATGCAAAGTTGTGTTTAGTACACTAACATGAACATGGAAATTCATTTACTTTCATAGAATTTTGGTTGTATCTATCTGTGTCGTGTTTAATTATAGTTCCCCTAATGCTTAGATCAGCTCTAAAGTGGAAGTTACCTCTGATTACTAACTACTGAGAGACTTATATTTGATCTCGAATTCAGTCAACATCTTATTGATTAGCAGTGTTGTTGGGTTCAAATTCTTCTAGCTGCTAAACTTTGAAAGGAAAAGTTCCATTAAAATCATTCCATGATTCCACAATGTATTGTTTTTCGTTACCTATGGTTGAACATTAACCAGAATGGCACTGTTGAGGGTCTGTCTACCCCACAGCTTTTCCGTTCGAACTGAATGTAAAAAGTAAAATGAAATGAAAAACAGGATGAACTGTTTATCGACTTGAATTGTAATCATCGCCTTTCCCTTCAAAGGGGGGCCATGCATAAGCCATAAAAATTTGAAAACAACCTATGTCTATTCTTCTTTTTGTTGTTTCTTTTTCCCAATCTGCCAACTGTTTAGATACTTTTTTCTTTGCTTTTACCCTTGTTTTGCCTTTCTTTTCCCCATGCCCACCAAAAGTGCATTATCTACAATTCAATGATGGAATTCTTGATCCTATTCATACCCTCTGTATTTATATTTGCAGCTTTTATGTCGATAATGTTCCCATAAGAGAGGTTAAAAGGACATCAACAATGGGCGGGGACTTCCCATCGAAGCCCATGTCTTTGTACGCCACCATATGGGACGCGTCGGATTGGGCCACAAACGGGGGCAAGTACCGGGTCAGTTACAAGTACGCCCCTTACATTGCTCAGTTTTCCGAGTTTGTTCTCCACGGGTGCGCGGTGGACCCAGTCGAGCAGACAAAATGCGACAGTGCCCTCGAGTTTGCCTCGGTGCCCTCTGGCATGACACGTCAGCAGAGGGCGAGGATGTCGGGCTTTCGGAACAAACACATGCAGTACTCTTATTGTTATGACCATGCACGTTACAAGATTCCCCCGCCCGAGTGTGTAGTGCTCTCCAAGGAGGCTGACCGGCGCAGAAGGTTCGATCCCGTCACGTTTGGCCGTGGCAGGCGGCACCACCGCCTGGCTCGGGCCCACGTCTCGTCCCTGTGATGATTCACACCCGTTGGACTTCTCTATGATTATCATTTATATATATTTATATTTTTCTTCGGATTATTATTCTTCAGCTTAGTTTTCTGTGGTGGTTGTGGATGTGAATAGAGAGGGAACAAAAACAATAGGGAACATAAGGAAATATGAGACTTGTTTGAGGGATGATGATATCTATATCTATTCATATTATGGAGGACCATTTCTTGATGGGTTGCAAGTTTGTGTGTGTGTCTGTGTGTGTGTGTGTGTTTTGATTCCCATTTTGGCTTCCTCATTGTTGGTATTTTGTTATGGATATTGATATGTCTTTGGATGCTGGAAAAAAAAATTTAATTCTGGAGGACTTGAATTGTTTGTGTTACTATGAACATCTGACACAGTTTGGATTTGTTTGGAAATAAATATGATAAAGACCACATCCACGTGGAGGTGTGATTAATATATGGGTGGTGGGTGGGTGTATTTGTATGGCAAGGGATGGATGTCTGTTTGCTGCTGTGCTGTGTTATTATTAAATCTAAATGTTGCCACTTGGCCTGTCCAGTCATTGGAACGTTTGAGTTTGTTGTCCTCTTCTTGTGGGCCTTTTATTCCTATTCTTCGATTTTTGAATGGAACAGCAAAAGGTAAAAATAGATAAAGAAAGAAAGGCTGTCTGCCTGTCTGGAATCCAATGTCAGCTGGGACGGCAAAAGAAACCTAGATAAGACGATAGTAGTTGAAAACCACTTTGTTGTTTTTAATTGAAGTTTATATAAGTCTTACGTATTTAAATAAATTTACAAAACTCAACCAACTAATATACCGATTATATTTCATCAGAAATTCTATGGTGCCATATATGGCACGTGTTATGGTGTCACAACATGATGTAGCACAATATGATTGATGCCACAACATGATGTGTGATAGTGTATGGTGCCACATGTGGCACCATAGAATTTCTGTTTATTTCATGGTATAAGTTATTATATATATATATATAGAATCAGAATCACATGAGAATAACTCACAATCAAAGAAATATGAATAATTCTACGTCATTGGATACATAATACCAATGGTCAAGATGAAGTCAACGTTGATACTTAAAGTCAAATTCGCGGTGACAATTCTATAATTAAACGGTCGTCTTTTGGTCAAAATAATATCAATAAGGATAGTGATGTAATTTCTACCTCAAACATCAATTATGTCACTTGCACCAACCCATCACTTCCCCATTCTCTCTCTCTCTCTCTCACACATACACATTCACGCACATGTCACACACAGTCAGACACCACAACTTTCGGTTACAGCACCACCAAACCGCCACCGTCGGTCCGCCGCCGACTCATCCAATCTCCACTGCCACCATCCGCACGTCGAACTCCATTCACATTACAAACACTCACGAACACAATTTCAGATCCATCCGTCAATCCCGTCGGTATCGCCGCACACAAGCACACCAGGCCGTCGCTGCACGCACAATACACACTCACCCACACAATTCCGAGTGACGTTGTGGCGTGTCCGCGCATGGCCATCGATGATTTGCTACTGGTCGCATATGGTGAAGCACGTTACCGGTGGCGAGGAATCTTGCAGGACCATGTCCGCACGCTGCCATGGAGGTCGCAGCAGGTGATGCTGACGGAAAATGGTCGCTGGTCGGAGAAGAGCATTTTTTTTACGTTGGTGACTTGTTTTGATTTGGGGGGCTTATTTGGAGAATTGATATGGTCAAGGGATCTAATTGCAATTATATAACTTTCAATATATTTAAATTTACTACATGTGGTAATTTGGTAATTTGATAGAAGTGCTAGGGATTTAGTTGCAATATAAAGAAATCATTTTATTGCAATTTAAGTTATGGGCAAAATTGGTAATTTAACAAAAAATTAGTAAATGCACAATAATATTCAGTACAATGCACAATATAGTATTGTAATTGCACAATAAAGTTAAAAAAGAATTACAGAATGTATAATATTGTTCATTAGACGGTTCAGTCGAATTCGAACTTTTGAAACAAAATGGACGGTCGGATTTTTTAAACATGTGTTAGATGGGTTGAAAAAATATATTATCGAATAATAATATATTAAACGCGTACTCGGTTGTCGTTGATATTTTGAAAAAATCAGACAATATATATACAATATTTTAATCAGTTAGCTCCAATATTATGATATATTTATATGTTTAACTAAAATTTATATCTTTTGACGACAAAAGTATCGGAATTTTTAAAAGTAATATATGATAATCCAACTAAAATATAAAAATTTGAACCCAAATTTCACTTTGGTCGGAGTTGTGCAGTCTGACAGTCATTAAGGTGCAATTCGTCTAACCATACTGTGTACGATTTCAAACGCTATTGTGCCGTCTGAAACGATTGACTTTTTTTGTCTCAAACCAATTCAATTGAACTGAAATATTTTGTTTATTCGGTCCGTTAACGGAATTAACCAAAATAACTAAAATAAAATATTATTTATATTATAATGATATGGGATATTGTACACATTAGACCGGTTCACCGGGTTAACTGAGCGAAAGAGATTAATCCGACTGGTCGAGCATAGCAGTCGTCGGGAGGGGAGGATTATAGGTTAAGGTTGCGCTGATCTGGGACCACTAAGAAGGTACTTATCTCACTGATCCCTGGTCGAAGAGCCTGAAGTTTGATACTCGTACACCAAATATCAAGAGTTGCAAGTAAATAAAACAATCAGATAGTAATGAAGATTCAAACAATTGCGGAAGCAGTTTCACTTAAACTTGAACCTTCAAGAGAGCGTCCCACCACTGTCCCTTCAGATCTCTTTTATTAATGTGAATATCAAAAACACTCTCCAAGGGTTTACAGTATAGACTCTCTCTACACTCTGTTTGAACAATGATTCACACAACTACTTATCTGACCATAAATCCCTTATGGGTTTTCTAGTTCAAATCCCTCAAATTATCTCATAACGAACCTCCGAACACTCTGTTGTAAACATACACAAAATAATGTATACATAATATCTCTCTTCACCCAAGGAACGAAAAACACCAAAAATAATAAAAAATCAGAGTGCAAAAAAGTCGTCCTCTACATGTGTCTGGTCCTCCTTTTATCCTCAAGCTTCATTTGGTAAGTCTCTTCTTTTTCTTAGCGTCCAAGTTAAAACCACACAAGGAATGTCTCTTTTTATTTAAGGCCGCAATCTTTATCTTGCGATTAAGGAAGGTGAATCCCGAGTTTATTCCAATGGACATGCCATAATAAAACACTTATTATTATTAATTGATAATAATAAATAAAAAAGAGCTTCCAATCAAACTAAAATAACTTCCCTTAAATACACTTGCGTTTTTCTAAATCCTGTGAACACCAGAAGGTTCATAGATTTACTGCCAATCTTCAAAACTTACAATCTCCCCCTTTGGCAGATAAATCGAAAATCATTTCCTTGAACCTGCATGAATAAATACATATCCTGCACTACAGATAACAACCCCAAGAATACTTATCATATCACATAAGTGTTATTCATAAGAACAACTCGAATACTTTAATAAGAGCAAAATAGTTCACATGATACTGATAAGGAAAACATTCATCACATGCAAGAAGAAAAGAAAACATAAAGGAAAGAGTTCAAACAACCATACACAGATCAAGTAGTTTTTAACAAAAACACATATGAATGTCCAACTGAGAGATCTACGCAGACTCTTCTTCTTCAGATTCCTCCGCCGAACCTTCTTTAGTGCCATCCTCAGTCTCTTCTTCAGAAGCCACCTCTTCTTCTTCATTCTCAGCATCAGATTCTGCTTCTTCGTCAGAACCTTCATCCTCTTCCACAGCCTTCTCCTTTCCCTTTTCTTTGGTAGCAACTACCTTTCCTTTATCTTTTGCAGTTACATCAGCAACAACCTTTGGCTACTCCCCATTAGCAAGTACTTTCTTCTTTCCAACAGAAACAACAGCCTTCTTCTTTATCTTCCCCTTTTTCGATTTAGATACCTAAGGGCTCGTGTCTTCAAAGCACCTAACACCTCCTTGTAGGGGAAAAATTATCATCAATTCGAGGGTCCATCTTCACACCAGCCTTGAAGAGGATTGCACAAACGGTAGATGGATAGAGCAACAGTTTGTGGGGCTTGGAGATCTCTGCAAACGCCACCACGACATAACAAATAACAGAACCAATGTCAAAAGGAATACCATTCAGAATATGGTAGATCACACGAGCCTGTGTAGGGGTCACAAACTGTTTGTGAGTGGTTGGTGTCCAGTTCGACGCCCCTATCTTCTGTAAAGCATTTGCGAGCGGATTTAAACTCTTCACAAACAATCCCGGAGCAAGCCATTTGTTAAGTTGCCCACCAGTCAGGATGTGAGCAACTTCATCAATATCATCAGTCAATGGGGCAAGCAAGGAACCTTCAGCTAAACCAAGTACGGAGTTCACCACGGACGGAGAAAATTCAATCACACTGTTACGCACAAAAACCTTATGAAACTTCATTGATGAGGGGTCAGAGACAGAGGTAGTCAAGTTCGAGTAAAATTCACACACAAGCAGAGGGCAGTATTTTCCAACAGACGTGAATGAGCCATCAAGCCCAACCTTTTTCAGAAGTTCAAGCAACCCAAGTTGCTCAAAACGTTCGCCAACGATCGTCCATTCAGGACGAAATTTCATTTGAGATAAAATGGTAGAAAATCGATTTTCAGACTCATGAGAATAAAACTGACGGGAAAAAGCATTACCAACAACAAGAGGACTGTCTGGACCACCGCCTTTGGCTTCATCAACAGCTTTGTCTTCGACAGCAGGAGAGAGTTCATTGACAACAACACAATTGTTGTCTGATTTATCAGGTTCAGCAACATAATTTGCAATTTCTTTCTTAACAGAATCAGCATCAGAGTCCGGGGATGACTGTAACGCCTCACTTTTATTTGCCAAAATTCAGAATAACTTTTTTAAATTTATTTTAAAATCACT